AGAGAGAGAGAGAGAGAGAGAGAGAGAGAGAGAGAGAGAGAGAGAGAGAGAGAGAGAGAGAGACGGGCGGCGACCAACTCGCCGCCCCTCCCTCTCTCTCTGTCTTCTGTCTCTCTCTCTCTCGCGCGCGCGCGCGCTCGCGCGTGACTTCAACTGTTTTTCCGTTGTTTTTTTTCGTTTGTGTATTTCATTTTTTTTTCCTTTTTGTTTTTTTGTTTTTTTTTCTCTACTGTGTCGTCCCTACAGAAGCGGGGCCCGGCGTCCGCGCTACGACCGAGCCTTCCCTTGGCCGACCCCCCTAAGGCTGCGGTGCGTATATGGGAAGGCCCACGGCTGATAGCTGAGCGAGGTACTGGTGGTTTAATAGGCGTTCGTGAAGGTTCAGTGTCTGCATTTGGACGAATAAGCGCGAAGCTCATCAGAGGTAAGTGCAACCATTTCCTCTCTCTCTCTCTCTCTCTCTCTCTCTCTCTCTCTCTCTCTCTCTCTCTCTCTCTCTCTCTCTCTCTCTCTCTCTTTGATGTCGCCCCAATGCGACGCACAGTGTCGGAAACATCGCGCGTACACATTGACGATCAGGGTGCGTTGTGTTCGGGGGGGGACGCCGGTAGTTGTGCATCTCTTCTCGCGCTTGCCACCGCCCTTACCCAAATAGAACGCATCTTCTCGCGCTTGCCACCGCCCTTACCCAAATAGACGCACGCGCTGTATTTGGGAAGATACACCGCCACAATTTGTCTTTTGTGCATGTCCAGAGTGGTGGAAGGAGGCCCTCTTTCTCTTCCTGCAAAGATGTCATCCATCAGCCCCCCTCATCAGCCCTGTGCGTGATTTGAATACTCTCTCTCTCTCTCTCTCTTGTGCGCGCGCTGAGACCCATTGCCTTGTGCCTTGGCTACCCGCGCCCACGCGTTAGACAATTGGGGGCCGTAATCCCTGCCCTGATTATTCTCGAACGCGGTCGGATGCATGCACGACAGTCCGTCATTTTCCGCGTATACCGCCCCCCGTGTGCTGTTACTGGTCCCGCCAAATGTGCATCCTCCTGCTTCGGAAAAAATCGTGGTGCACAGGAGCGGGGATGAGCGGCGAAACGCGGAGGCGGAGACGGTTCTCTGCGCGTTTTTTTGGTTATGCCGCGCCAAGCCCAGGGACCAGGTCCCACTTGCAATCTCGGTACAATCCATAGATTACGAAGACGAAGATTCACGGCCCGTATCTCTGCATCCGTGCAATGTACGTGGGGCCTCACCCCGCCCCCCCCCCCCCCCGCCCCGCCCCGCCCAAGCCCCGCCCAAGCCCCGCTCATTGTGGAACAGCTGGCGATCCATTCCCTCGTGTGTGAGCGTGGAGAAAAGCAACCCCCGGCCGTAGAGCGGGCAGTTCGTGAATGAGGAGGGCGGGGTTGATTGAGTGATTAGACGGGGCGATTGGACGTACTTGATTGGCTTGAGAGTACGGTATTCGAGGAGAGGAGCTATCAATCAAGCAGGTAATCATGTCGATCGTTGCAAGGAGCCTGCGCGCGGCTGCGCGGACTCGAGCCACAGCGGCGGGGTCCAAACTGGCGGAAGCTTCTTCCCGCCAGGGAAGGCGGACTTTCTCTGCTGCTGCCGCGGGACACTCTGACGAAGACCTCGCCCGTGATGTCGCCACGTGGCGCAGGGTTACCGCATTCGCCGCGGTGTTCTGCGCAGGCTTTGCCGTCTATACTCTGTATGGCGCGAGTGCTCATCATTCCCATAAGGACAAGCCGGCTTACGAGTACTTGCACGTCAGGAACAAGGAGTTCCCTTGGGGACCTTGCGGCTTGTTCGAGTTAGATTGCAAACGGAGTCTCAAGGAGCAGCAGTAGCCCGAACGGCAGCAAAAGGAGACTCGAGCGGGAGGAGTGGCAAACGGTAACGATAACGGCCGAGAAGAGTGCCTGACGGAAAGTCGAGGGGGATCCTAAAAAGCTAAGAACATGAGTTCCGGGTTCCCTCTCTCTCTGTCTCTCTCTCTCTCTCTCTCTCTCTCGCCCTCCCTCTCTCTCTCTTCTCTCTTTGTTTTCCGCCCCGCACTTTGGCCGCACCGATTGGCAGTCACTCGTTCTCTCTCTCTCTCCCTCTCCACTTCCTCTTTCCTCGTCCTGCCAGCGTCCGTCGTTGCTTCTACTTTGGCTCATTCCCTTCGAGGAAGCCCTGGGTTTCAAGTCTTTTGATGTAATTAGCGGTATCCGCAAAGACAGTCAAATTCTTGTTTTTTGAATTGTGTGTGTAAGCTTCATCCCTCTGCTGCTGTCAGCAAGCTCCTAACCTCTTATTGAGGACATTCATGCGTTCATGCGGGGAGCCGGTTGTGGGGGAGAAGAGGGAGGAGGGGGGAGGGATAAGGGGAATGTTGGGTTGATCTTGTCCGCTTTTCTCTATGGCAATGTTGACGCGATGACCTCGTATGTTTGCGGACGGCCGTGGACGCTGGCGAAACCCACAGAGAGAGAGAGAGAGAGAGAGAGAGAGAGAGAGAGAGAGAGAGAGAGAGAGAGAGAGAGAGAGAGAGAGAGAG